CCTGTTGACAATCCCAGACGACACGATCTTGTCGGGGCTCATGCTAAAGTCAGCTCCAATGATGGTGGGCAGACCTACCTGCTCAACGACCGTACCGATGCACGCTAGGAGCTCCACGTTTGCCTCCGAGAGCCCCTCGACCGTACGCAAGTAGGTACTGCAGACTAGGATGGGATCACCGCCAGGAGTGTGCACGACAGCTCCGATCGAACGGTGTTGACCGATGATATGACATCCAGGCGGAGCATGACATCCCAAAGAATTCTGGACCAGAATCCCAACCCCAGGCGAAGTACCGTGTCCCACTCCTGGAGCAGCAGGCCCAAGGATAGCTTACCACCCATGCCGATGGGCCCAGCCAGTAGCCTCCTCCAGCTCAGGCTCCAGCAAGTGGTGCTCTTGGATTAAGAGAACGTGTGCACCACACTTGGGGGGCCAAGCTCTGAGGCCGCCTCCCGAGTCGGATTGCCAAGACGTGACATTGGCAGTCTGGATGACGAGCTCAACACTTGATTCTCCAGGGCTGGGTTCGGGGGCGTGGAAAGGAAAAAACTTGGTGGCCTGAGAGCGATCGACCCCGAGGCCCGGCGCGGCCCTGGTAAAAGCTTCGTGCCCCTCGGAGCCGAAAAATCCAGGAGGGCCGTGCCGAAGCCCAGGGTGGTGGCCGCCAGCGGCCTGTCGGGGACAGGCTCTGTCCGTCTTGGCAAGGGTGGCCTCTACAGCTTGCGACAAATTGAAACACTGGTGGGCGTCGGCCCACCGAGCGTCGAGGGAGCTGCGCGCTCCGTCGACGCTGTCTTGATGCAACCCAAGAAGGGAAGACGCTCTGAGACCATGGATTTCGTAACGATCCGAATCAAAAGTTGGGGGCGGGCAATGACAACTCCCTTGGGCGCTCACCGTGAGAGCGCTGGAACTGGCAGACGCATGCAGGCATGGATGTGTGGCCAGGCAAGGCGGTGGCACCTCCCCCCACCCCGCCAGGGGCGGGGGGGGAGGTTGAAGGGCCTTCTCTGCCTTGGCCCGCACGTCGTCTGCTGCTGGGGCTCCACCACCAGCTGGGGCAGCCTCAGCGGCCGCCGTGCCGGGGGCAGCGGCAGGTGCCTCACGCGGCTCATCATCAGCACCAGCGTCCCCCCCTGCCGCCGCTACCTGGTCAGTGCGCCGCCGCTTGCTGGCAACCCGAGCCAGGTGCTCTCGATGCGCATCTCGGGCCGCTTTGGCAGCGGCCACCAGGGGGCCCAGAGCTTGGAGACGCCAGCGTTGAGGTCGTCCTTCCTCTTGGCGATCTCTTCGCGGTCCTTATCCTCGAGCTCGGCGTCGCCCTCGAAGAAACTGACCTCATCCACTGTGAGGAATGCGCCCAGGTCGAAGGTGTCAGCGCACAAGTCTTCCAACTTGAGCTTGGCAGGGGCTGGCGCAGCGGGGGCGGGAGCCACAGACGCCTGCTGCTGCAGCTCGGCCACCAGAGCCTTGTACTGCTGATCGGCTGTGGCCAACTCCTCACGCATGCTCCGCACCGTGTCCTCGAGCTTGGCGATGTCGTTCCTCCAGCCAAAAGGCTTGTCCACCTCCCTGTCCAGCGCCTTCTCCAGTCGAGCCGCCGCGGCGAACTGCTGCCGCACACGCTGGTGTAGGGAAGTGGGAGGCTTGGGCGACTCCAGTGCGTGCAGCTTCTTGAACTCAGCCTCGTACTTGGATGCTGTGGTGAGGTCCCCTCCTTTCCGCGCGAGATCTGCCAGCTGCTTGGCCTCATTCGCGTTGAGCTGGCTCTGGGGCCCGACGGGGAGAGGGGGTGCCTTGGCGGCAGCGCCTCCAGGATGCCCACCTCCGTGCCCAGCTCCAGCAGGTTGCCCAGGACCTCCAGGGGGCCCAGGGAAAGGACGAGAATGCTTGGCCCAAGGTGCCGCGGAGAATACGCCAGGAGGGGCATGCGACCACGCCCCGCTCTGTGGGGCTCCACCTTCGACTGGACGCACAGCAGCAAGAGGAGTCCCACAATGCTTGCAGTAGCGGGCCGCCTTGGGGTTCTTCGCACAGCCACAGGAGCTGCACTTGAACTTGGAATATCCTTCTGCACTTTTGTCCGAGTACATGTAGGCGCCATAGTGCCACGGGGGGGCGGCCGTGCCGCTGGACCAGTCATCACGACCACGTCCTTTGCCACGCCCGACTCCTTTAGCACTACCATTGCGCAACGCAGGCGGGGGTGTCATACACCCCGAGTCAATCACTGAGAAGATCCGAGCCAGAAGGCCCGTTGACGCAGTGTGCCGCTCTGAAGTTCGCGTCAACAAGCACAAAACTTGTGCCAGAACGGCTGGAGGAGGAGGAGGAGGAGAAGGAGCAGGAGGAGGAGGAGGAGGAGGAGGAGGAGGAGCAGGAGGAGGAGGAGGAGGAGGAGAAGCAGCAGGAGGAGGAGGAGGAGGAGGGGCGCCGACCATCGTCGAGTGCGCGTCCGTCATCATTAGCAAGCCGCGCGGCGCTCAGGCGAGGTCGGTGTTTCGCCCGCTCCCGCGCGGCCCCGCGGCGGCTGCCGCTTTCGCGCGGTTCGGCGAGGACCATGCGCGACGCCCGCGCGGGACAGCACCCCTGAGCGAAAAATGCGCACGGAGCCCGGGCGAGGGCGACCAGTCGCCCACTCGCGCGCCCCCCCCAAAAAAATCCCCCCCAGCCTTTTAGGGCGTGAAAAATTGTTCTTTCAACTCCTCGTTTTGCTTTTCGGGGACGGGTTACTCATTTTCTTTATTCGTACAAGCCCCCTCCCCCAAGCGACCGGCAGCCAACTCGGACCAATGAGACCCCCACGCCAACCATCCCGTGTAAACACCATTTGACATGTACTTTGCCTCCAAAGCTGGAGCATGCGCTGGTGCCCCGCGACCACCTTGCGCTGGCTTTTGACAGGGGCGGCGGGGGTGCCGGCACATTGGCCAACCATCCCTGCCCCCCAAACAAAAATACACTTTGCCCATGACGGCCCAAACAGCCTCCAATATTGCCCCAAGACGGCCTTCCAGGCCTCCCAAGAGCGCCCCAAGACAGCCCAAGAGGGCCCCAACATGGCCGGAAGAGGCCCCCCAGACGGCCCAAGAGGTCCCCAAGACGGCCCAAGAGAACCCCACCAAGAGAGCCACAAGGCGGCCCCGAGAGGGCCCCACTGGGCCAGACGGCGCGGCGCCCCGATAAGGCCCTAGAGGCCCCCAAGAAGCCCTGCCCAAAGAGCCCCCAAGATGTTTCCAGGATGCCCCCCAAAAGCCTCCAAACGGAACCAGGAAACCATCACGAGGCCCGTGGAATTGTAAACGAACTGCTATGCCCGGCGGAGTTTGAAGTTGGCGTTGCATCGTGCTGACACGCGGTGAATGCTCATTGATTGCCCTCGTGGACATTCGCACGCTTGTCCCGGCGCTGGAAGGGAGGGGGGGCGCGTCTGCCCCCCGTGGCGCTGCCAGCGCCCCAAGGCGGGGGCAGAACGACGCGGCAACACTTCGCGGCGGACGACAAGTGCAAACCACCCAACGCCCAGCGTTTGCGTACTCAGGAAGTGCACCACGCGAAGCGAGAGGAATCCGTACTAAGGGCATCCTTGCTGCTGAATCCTTCGTGAACGCACCGCAAGCACTGCATCAAACAGCACCCGTTCTGACGATTCCTCGTTCGAAATTCCTGATTCCAGAATGCTTGCGAACGAGCTCCTGTACATGAAACGATTTATGAAGGAGTCCTCCCTTGACAATCCTCCAGGAATCCTCGGAATACTTAGGTTCCTTGAGGAATCCTGAAGAAGTCGATCGACTCCTCAAGCATCCTTTGAAAACAGCGAGAGGGAGAGAAAGAGAGAGAGAGAGAGAGAGAGAGAAAAGGAGAGAGAGGGAGAGAAACAGAAGGAGAGAGGGAGGGAGGGAGCGACATATGTATATATATATATACATACATATATAGCGACAGGGGGAAACATATATATATATAACGAGAGAGAGAGAGACACTCAGATATAACTAAACAAGAGAAATATGTATATATATATATATATATAGAGAGAGAGAGAGAACAAGGCAACTATGTATACATACATCGATGTACACATGAGAATGAGAGACAGAGACAGAGATAACAGAGAAACATATATATATATACATATACATATACATACTACACATCTATATGTAGATAGACAACACAAGAGAGAGATATATTAATGGATGGATGGAGGGAGGGAGGGAGAGAGAGAGAGAGAGAGAAAAAAAAAAGACAGAGGGAGAGAGAAAACTAGGCAGACTTCAAACATAGACCCTTCTAATCTGCCCAGCCTGCTTTGCGCTCCGAACCGAGGAGGAGGAGAAGGAGGAGAAGGAGGAGGAGGAGAGGGGGAGAAGGGAGGAGGAGGAGGGGGAGGAGGAGGAGGAGGAGAGAGGAGGAGGAGGAGGAGGAGGAGGTTCACCACCCATATAGGGAAACGCTGGGGAGAGAGAAGAAAGGGAACACTCCTTCTTTTTTGGGGGAGGGGGGCGCCTCTCGAAGAAGGACGAAATCCCGCTTGCTGCCCCCAGGGGTGACGCGGCGGGCCCTGCAAGGGCCCGCCGACCAGGCGCCGCTCGGGCTCGCCCCCCTGGGGCGACCGCCTGGCCTGGGCCGCGGCCCGATCCTCCTCGATCATCCACCTCCTCCTCGATCCTTCTCTTCTTCCCTCCTCCTCCTCCTCCTCCTTCCTCCTCCTCCTCCTCCTCCTCCCTCCTCTCCCCTCCTCCTCCTCCTCCTCCTCCTCCTCCTCCTCCCTCCTCTCCTCCTCCTCCTCTCCTTCCCCCTCCTCCTCCCCCTCCTCCTCTCTCCTCCTCCTCCTCTCCTCCTCCTCCTCCTCCTCCTTCTCCCACTCCTCCTCCTCCTTCTCCCCTCCTCCACCTCCTCCTTCTCCTCCCCTCCTCCGTCCTCCTTCTCCTCCTCCCCTCCTCTTGCCTCCTCTCCCCTCGTGTCCCAGTCCCACCCTCCCTCCCCCCCATTCGGGGCGCAGGGCGCCCGCGTCGGGACGACGACGCGAACGACGCCGCCGCCCGAGGGGCCGCCGAAAGCGACCAGCAGTTACTGGACCCGGCCCAGGCCTACAGGGCCACGGACTGCCTCGAACACGGGGGCACCCTCGCAGGCACACGACGGGCGGACCCCGTCGCAGGTGCCGCCCCACACCGGCGCGCCGGAAACGCCTTCGGGCGGCCTCCTCCTCGGAGGCGCGCGCGGGCTGTCCACACGGAGCCCCCTTCGATGTCGCGAGGGCCTTGGCCTTGTCCAGCCAGGCCTCGCTGCATGGGCGTCGCTGCGTGGGGCCGCTCGATTTGGCTGCTGTTTCCCGGGAAGCACGGTGACCGCGCAGGCGACCCGGCGCGTCCGCGCGGGCCGCCCGCGCGCACTCGGTGCCGCCCGCGCGCGTGCCAGTGGTCAGTCCATGCTGTCCAGCTCGCAGGCCCCGGGGCACGGCGCAGCGCGGCCTGCCGCCGCCTTGCGGACGTCGGCGCCGCCGCCCGCGGCGGCCAGGCCGAGCTCCCTGAGGAGCAGGCCGGCGGGACCGGGGTCCAGCCTGCTCTCGGCACAGAAGGAGGCGAGCACGTGCTCCATCGCGTGCACGTCGAGGTCCAGAGGTTCTGCGCCGTGGACCCGGACGTGGTGGGACGTGAGGGGCAGCCCCCCGCCCTCACCCGCTGGCGCGCCCTCATCCCCGCCGCCTCCGTCGAGCACCTCCTCGAGCTGGTCATCCAGCTCGGCCATGTACGACCGCAGCTCTGCCTCCGGGCTGGGCTCCGCCTCGCTTTCGTCCTCGTCCCCCTCGCTCGGGGGCTCGTCCTCCATGCCGAGGACGTCGCAGTCCTCAGCGCCCGAGCTGTCGCTGCCGCTGCCCTCCTGGCCCGCCGCAGCGGGGCGGGCAGCGCCCGGCTGCCGAGCCGCCTCGAGGCCGTCGACGCAGGAGGCGCGCTCGAGCAGCCTCGAGAGCTGCTGGCCCATGCCCGCCAGCTCGCGCTCGAGCTCCCCCGCGCCCGGGCCCTCGGGCTCCGCCGTCGCGGCGCCCTGGTCGCCATCGGAAGGCTTCTGGCGCCGCCGGTCCCAGTCGTCGAACTCTGCCTGGCGGGCCTGCATCTTGGCCTCCAGCTCTTCGGGCGAGACGCGCAGCCACGCGTCCTCGTCGTCCTCATCCCTCCAGTGCGCAGCCAAGTCCACCGCCTCGGCGAGCCTGCCGTCGGCGTCGGCGAGCCAGGCCCGCAGCTCGGGCCGCATTGGCGCGTCGAGGGACGACTGCTGCAGGTACGCGCGCCTTGCGCTGGCGCTGCCCGCGCCGGGAGGGGGCCGGAGGGCCGCGGCGTGGCGCGCGAACGCGGGGTCCGGCGACCACGGCAGCGAGGGCGGCAGCGCGGCCGCCGCGGCCGCCCAGCTCGGCCAGCGCAGCAGCGCCGTGGCGCTCCGCGGCCCTTGCAGGTAGGCGTGCTCCAGGCCCGCGCAGAGGGTAGCGCCGAGCTGCATCGCCTTCAGCCCCACGTCAGCTTTCCTCGGCTGGCGCCACCTCTTCTGGCTGAAGCGAGAGGGCAGCTGGCACCGCAGGCCTGCGAGGCGGGCGAACTGGCAGCGCGTGAAGCGCACGCCGATGCAGGTGGTCTCCTGCGCTGGTGGCCCCTCGCAGTCGAAGCAGGCCTCCGACTCCTGGCCCTCCAGCTGCCGCCTCAGCCGCTGCATCTCGGCCGCGGGGGGCGTAGGCAGATGGTCCAGCGCCAAACCCACCAGCTGAGGGAAAGCCACGAGCAGCCGCGCCACGGGCACCGGCAGCACGGCCCTCGCGACGTGGGTGGACAGCTCCACAGCCCTGCGCGGGAAGTCCTGCAGCCGCTCGCGGATGGCGAGCTGCACCTTCTCCTTCGCCGCCGTCGCCGCGCCCGCCGCCCGCAGGTGACGCAGCGCGTCCTGCCGCGACAGCCTCTGCGGCTCGGGGGGCACAGGCTTCGGCAGGATGTGGACGCGGCCCCCGCGGAGCCAGCAACGGTTCTCCGCGTTCGTCGGCGTCAGCCACCTGGGCGCCGCCAGCGCCGCCTCGATCAGCAGCAGCTCGCCGTCGCTGTCGACGACGCGGCACGACGCGTCGGGGCATCGGGCCGTTAGCCGCTGGAGTAGGTGGACCACGAACCACTCGTCCTCGACGCCGTCCCCGGTGCGCAGGTGGCCGGCCAGGTGGGGCTCGTCGCCGGGGCCTTCCCCCAGGCAGACCTCGAGGACGAAGCGGTCCCGGTGCCACAGGTACCGCGCGAGCTCGCTGCCCAGCACCTCGAAGGCCTCGCACATGCGCGCGCGCAGGAAGGCCACCGCCTCGCCCGCCTCCGAGGCGCGGGGGGTGCCGTCGAAATAGACCTGCAGGTCCACGCAGTCGTCCAGGTCGGGGGCACCGGGCTGCCGCTCCATCGCCTGGCCGAGCGCAGCGCTGAGCACGTCTGCGCCATGCCAGGCGTCCAGGTCCTCCTCCATGGGGCGCGCGCCGCGCGGGGCCTCGCCGCGGGGCGCCCCGGCCCGCGCGCCACTGGGGCCGTGGGCGGCGGCCGCTGGATCCCCCCGAGGGGGCAAAGGCTTGAGCCGAAAGGCTGCGGTGGGGAGCTGGAAACACACGCGGCTGGATACACGCGCAGAACATCTGGAAGCCACTTGCTGGATGGCCGGCTTCCGCCGGCAGAGGCGGCCTCGTTTGACTTCCACCGACCTTTCGCCGCGGAAAAGATGACAGCTGCTTCTACCCTAGAAGGCGAGGCCCTTTGTGGAACGCCCTGGAGGACCACCGTGTCTGGACATACGATGGCCGAGCGCTGGAAAGGCATGCGGCCACATATGTTCCAGCTGTCGCCCAGGCCAGCCACGCTATGGGTATGCAGCTTGCTGGTAACGCAGAGTTGTGCAAACATTGCGATTCTCCCAAGACACTGCTTGCAAGAATCCAACCCCGTATGACGTCTGCTCCAAGAGTTCAGGCTCTTTGAATCCGCCCCGGCTAACGTAGACCCCGAAATACCTTGGTGTGCTAGGAATCCCCATTGTTTGGACTAGCCCTGCCTAGACCCACAAGCCCTGGACGTGGCCATACGGGTCCTCCAATGAAAGACTGTCTAGGCGTCCATGCGCCGATAGCGTGATTTCTCGTCAATCCGCAAGATCAGAACGTTCAACTGTGCACATCTTCCTCCGTAGGTGGCCTGAAGCACTTTGCATGGGGACGCAAGGATAACACAATAGATGCCGCCGCCTTCCTTCACATAATGACGAAGGGATACCTGTCTATCTCCGATCCAGCAGCGACGCTCAAAAACACGATTACATCATGGCTAATATGGCCTTGACCCCGCGGCCTTGAGAAGTTAGCCTCGTGCCGAGCCGATCGGTCAGGTGAGCTCTCGTGGGGCACCGTGGGTCCGCCCAGCGAATCCATGCCCGCGCCAACTCTGCCGAACAACTCGCGCCGGACTCCTCCGACAACTATGACCCCAGTCGAGGTCGACCCTCAGACCTCTCCAGGGATGCATTCTCGCCGGAATGTCGAAGCGTACCCAGCCGCTGCGAGGGAGAGGCCTCGCGGGGACACGCAGAGAGCGAAGACGGCCCAAACCCGAACGGCGAAAAGGTGCCAACGCCTTGGATCCTCGAGCCTCGATTAGGGAAACAAGCAGTGGCATAGACATGAGAACTCGGAGGTCCGCGCGGATTGCTCGGATCGGCGCTGGACCCCCCTCCCTGGCGCGCGGAGCGCGCCAGGGGCGGCACCGGAGGCGCCGCCAGGGGACCCCCGCGCCGATCCGAGAAATCCGCGTGGACCTCCGAGCTTTTATTCAGAGCGTGAATTACCTACCCCGCTTTCGCTTCCAAGCAAAACCAAGCCATACCACGCGCCTCCTCGTCAAGCGGCCTGACCAGTACAGGCTGCAATTTGGCATCGTTTGGTATCTCTTGGAAGCGAGGGTGGTCAAAAGCGAGGTAGGTTTGTTTTCCCCCGATTTATGTCTATGCCACTGTTCGTTGCCCTGTCGATCCTCGCGCGGTGGGCTCCGCGGTGAGCTCCCACCGCTGCCCGCTGTGGCGACCAGAGATCTCGCAGATGCCCGTGACGCCCTTCGGCGGCCCCTCTTGCGAGGCGGGCTGCTGGCCCTCGAAGCACTGGTCCTGCGTGGTGCCGCCGCCCCCGACGTCGCCCCCGCCTCCGCCGCCGTCGTCGTCGTCGTCGTCGTCGTCGTCGTCGTCGTCGTCGTCGTCGTCGTCGTCGTCGTCGTCGTCGTCGTCGTCTTCGTCGGCGTCGTCGCCGTCGGCGTCGTCACCGTCGTCGTTTTCGTCGCCGTTTTCGTCGTCAGTTTCGTGGTCGTGTTCGTCGTCGCTTTCGTCGTCTGCTTCGCCGTCGTCGTCCTGGTTGTCACCATTTTCGTCGTCGTCGTCGTTGCGTCGTCGTCGTCGTCGTCGTCGTCGTCGTCGCTGTCGTCGTCGTCGTCCTCGGCGTCGTCGTGCGGGGGCGAGAACGACGATCATGGCAGCAGCCCTGGGGGTGATCCAAACTACGCCTACATTTCTTTGTTGATTATCGCCCCCTCCTTTCTTCTTCCTTTTCCGTCCCGTCCCCCCCGTTCCTCCTTCCCTCCTCCCTTCGCCCCCCTCCTCCTCCTCCTCCTCCTCCTCCCTGATGATTCCATCCTCCGTCCTCCCCCGCCCCTCTTGCCCGCTGGAACTTCTTTTTTTTGTTTGTGTTAAAATCGGCGGTGGACAAACCTCCCTTTAATAAACCTCCCCTTAGTGGAAACGGCCTGGGACCGAAACCGACGGACCTGGACCCGCAAAGCTGACGGCCGCGACGCCCTCTCGCGAACCGAAAACGGCCAATTCCTTAATCGACGTGTCAGGGTAGGAGGCCTATCCACCTCCGCTAAAAAGGGAGCCCTGAGCAGCCGTGGAGGTCCGCCTCGCGACGCCGCGCGCCGCCGCCGCCGCCCGCGCCCGCAGCCGCTCGGAAACTGCTGCGCGGCGAGGGGCCGGCAGCAGCGGCTCGCCCGGGCCGGGCCGCTCGGCGGCGGGCCGGGGATCGCCCCCGACGGGGCCGAGAGAAGAGGAGACCAGGATCTACACCTTACTGTTAGGTCGGGCGTGTCCTCCCACAAGCAGGCCCTGGAAGAATAGCACACACAAATCAAAAACAGACTCAAACATATCCGGAAATCATCGAAAAGGCGTCACCGGACCATGTCTTGGCTGTTCTTGAACACTCCGCCTGTAGACGGACGGGCCCCACTGAACTCTCACTGTGGAAGTGGCTCTCGCCCGCGACCCCTGGCGATCACTGCCTCTTCTCGAGACGGCTGTCGCAAGTCAGCTGTGGCCGGAAGGCGCAGCGTGCGGGACAGGGCTGAACCCAAACGGTGTTTCTCGCTTTCGTTTTGTGTTTTCGTTTTCCCTCGTTTTGCCTTTCATCCACCTCTACCGCAAAACGAAGCCGAAACGCAAACGGCCCACGAAATCGCCAGAACACCGTGTAGGTCCAGCCCTGGCACGGGAACGACGGCCGCAACGCAGCGCTCCCTGCAACTGCTCCTCTCGGACCTCCGGCTCCCGCGCGGGCGCGCCCGAGTCGGGGGGCGAGCGGCCGCGGCCGCGGGGCGCGGGGCGCCGGGCGGCGCCCGCGCCCCCGCTCCCGCGCCCGGCCGCTCCGCCCGCGAGCGCGGCGCGGCTGCGAGCGCGGCGCCGAGCGAGAGCGCGCCCGAGAAAGGGAGAGCATAAAAGGGGAACGAGCAGTGACATGATCATAAAAGCTCGGAGGTCCGCGAGGATTTCTCGGACCGGCGCTGGAGACCCCTGGCGGCGCCTCCGGCGCCGCCCCTGGCGCGCTCCGCGCGCCAGGGAGGGGGGTCCAACGCCGATCCGAGAAATAGCCCGCCCGCTGGGCAAGACAGAGGGGCACCGCAGTCTTTGCACAGACCCGCTGATGCCTGCACGACATCCCCCGGCACGACCAGGGCAACGCAAGCATGCGCAACAAAAACCAGCGCGCCGAAGAAACCATGGCATGCGTTTTGGAAACCCTGCAAACGCGTCTCAATCACAGGGAGACAGATCAGCATCTCTGCGACAGGAAGCCACATCAACATCGCCTCGTCTTCTGCTGCAGCGATGCGCTGGGACCTCCGTGGCGTCGACGCGGCGCCCCCTGCGGGGCGCTCTGCCGCCGTGACTGGCAGAGGGGGGCCATGAAGCTCGCGCATCGGAGGGGATCCATGGAAAATCCCCCCGCGCCGCGACGTTCTCCCGATGGGGTCGAGTGCCCTCGAGGCAGAAGCTGGCGCAGGACCGGCGTACTCGCCAGCTGCGGCAGCCCGAGCCGCTCTGGCACAGGAAGGCGGCTCTGGTGCAGCGGGCGGCTCTGCAGCTGCAGAAGACCCGCGCCCTCGATGACCTGAATAAAGCACGGGCCGCCATCGCCCCATCCCTGCTTAGACTTTGGCAGCGGCAGTCTTCGCTCCAGCGGCGGCATGCTCTGTCAATTACGTCTGTGTACTCCCTTGGGGCTCAACGAGGCTATGTTCAAGTCCCCCAACACCTAACCAACTCTAAACGAACGGCGTGTGCTTTTGGACTGAGGCAGTCTCGGGAAATGTCGAGACGCGAACTCATGAGGACCACATCCACGCAGCTGCCGTCGCGACGGTCGCGATCGAAAGCCCGAGGGCCTTCTTCAGCACGAGCTCACCGTGCCTGCGTGAATTCTCTGTGTAACGTGCCGCTTCGTCACATCAGTTGGCAACGGCGACTTCCTCGATCGCCAAACTTTGACATGCCGCTGCAGGTGCTGCAAAGCTCGAGGGAACATGCCGCATTCGTCTGTCTTATCTAAGAGACGGAAGCAGTGGCGCGATCGCCCGCGCGCTCCCCTGTGGGCCAAGTATGTCCGAAACTGCAGGGTGGAGGGCGCGCTCGAGCTCCCATCGAGCGCCGCGGACACTCCGCTGCGCCTTTTCTCTTGCAGCCGCGGGCGCGAGATCCAGTGGGGGGGCGGGCTTGGAGGCTTCGTTCGGTGGTCGCGACGGGAGCGGCGTTGGCCGATACATTGCCCCACATCTGCCGTCGGCGGCGGACTGATGACAAGGGCGCCTGAGATATCTGAGTTAACATGTAACGCGTTGTGGTTCAGAACAAGGTAGGATCTGCCTCTGGCCCGCGATGTCCACGGCAGCGCCGTCTTGAACAGTCAAGATAAGAATCATCGGCTTCCCTGTTGAAGCGCCCCCTGTCGAAGAAGAGCCCCCTGCGTCCGAACTCTGCAAATGCTGAACGCATGAACCTATAATCTCTGTTCGAATATTTAGCGTGCGTTGTGCCGTTCACGTCGCTGCCATTGCTGCGGGTCAAACGCGCACGGCCACCGAGGTCCAGTCGAATCGCCTTGGTCATCTTCGCCGCCCACTCTGCGCAAGAGCAACAATCTTGCCGTTGCTCGGCACTAGGTGCAAAAATGCTGCCGCGCAGGCATTCTGGCGAGTAGTTTTGTCTGCGTATGCGGCTGCGACTTCGCGCTTTGATGTCCGAGGGGGAGTCTGGGTTCGGCTTGGGTGTGC